CTTCCTGCTCCCTTGTTTAATGTAGCTTCAAACTTGTTTGGTTTTTTTTCCTGGAAAAATGTAGAGACCTGGTTGGCATTTCCACTGCATTTTAACTACTGCTGAGCTTTAAGGTCTCTTACCCAGATTGTCTCAAGGCTACAAAAAACCCCCCCCAACCCCTAAACAACCCAAACTTGCTATCATTTCACAAGCCATTGCACAATTAACACACATGCGCACGCTACAACTAGCATCCTTGCACTACTTTGAGACTAACCCCTTTTTGTCCCTTTAACTAGGGAGACGCTTTAATGTTACAAAAGCAGGTGGGGAACCAAATCTGAGTAAGCCAGTTTGCAGTAAAGGAAATGCTACAGAAGCTGAACTGCAGTTAACAAACATTTGCCTTTTAAAAACTATTCCGTTGCTTCCTCAATTACTTTGCCTTGTTTGTAGTAACATAGAGAAAGTGCAAGATGCTTTTTCAACAAGGAGGAATCTTAACTTCCCCCAACCCTATTCACTCCCAGTCAATAAATGAAGAAGATGAGGTGGAATAGTCATCTGTGGATATAGACTATGCTTTGGTGGCTTTTGCTTGTTGGCTTCGAGAGCCAAAAGTCAGGCATTTTGTACATATAAATATATATAAATATTTTTGCTTATTTATGGAATGTTTGTGCATGTTTAGGGCACCAGTTCAAAATGATGAGGGATGGTTAAGGCTAAGAAAATGAAATTCATTGCAAAGCTATAATTTTGTCTTAATTTTTCTCCTTTATAAAGGAGACTAAAGCATCTTCCCTGTAATAGTCAGCCGCTGTGTAATCCCCCATCAACACCAATTCTAGGGAAAACTACTCAGGACCCAGTCCCTGAGGCAAAAAGCTAGGACCTCATGATTTTAGCTCAAGTAATCCACATAATTAACAGCACGCGTTAGTGGAAAATTAAACATTCCAAGGCCTTGGACCTACTGTCACCTGAAAAAGAAAAGGCATTTTTCTGTACAAGATGGCCTAGATCCAAGCCTTTATGCATACATAGTAATGTAACAATTGGCCAAGGGCTCCAGATCTATCTCAGGGGTCTACGACACAGCTGGAGAGAGCTGTGCTTACTTCTCAGAAGTGCCAGCTGGCTCCCAGGAGGTCCTGCAAACCTCTCCATCTCTGCTGGGGGCATGTGCATCTTGCAAATGCTCCGGCATTGCAGGGGGATGCAAGGAAGCTGGACTCCCAGCAGCTACTGTTTGTTCAAGCTGCCCCACCAGCAAAATTCCAGCCTGACCTTTTCTTACTGCCCCAATTTTGACTACCACATAGATTAACAGGACTGGCACTGTCTGAAGCAGGGAGCTATCACTAAGAACACCGCTTGCCCTCAGGTACCTCTGTGGAGTTTCCTAAAAAAACCAGAAAGCGTAGGCTTATATTGCTGAACATTTGTTTTTCATGCTAGCTCCTCTCCCCCTTTGAATACATAGAAAACTGACAAGAACCAGCTACTGCACACATTCAGTCTGAAGAGGGGTGGTCTCAGTTCTCTGCAGGGACACAAAGTTTTGAACTCATCCTTGGGCCCCTATGCAGCTTGGCATTGCCAAGAACTACAGTGGTACACACCCTGTCCTTCCTTTTGAGACTGGGAGGGCTCAATGCCCGTTGTTTTGTCCTTTCTCACACCTTTCCCAGATGGAGACCTTGTGGACTGAGAAGTGAAAAGGGATGCTTAGGAAACCCACTGCTGTACCTCATGCAGCTGGAGGGCAGAGTAGGATGTGTGGGACAGTCTCCAGGCTCTGTATTGAAAGCAGAACCACCATGGAGTTGGCCATCACCTTACTCTCCCTGCAACCAGGTGAGATCTGCCTCTAAGTCTACTCCAAAAAAACCTAAAATACTTCGGTGGAAATAGAAAGATGCGGACATCTGTCAAGAAGGATGCTCTTTGGGCTAGTCAGTAGTTTACTAACCCCTGCCAGGTTCTTCCTGTGTTACAGTTGACGTGCTATGCATTTACACATCACAGAATGATGAAACCTGGGGCGTTCTCAAATTCATGTTGGTTACCCTCTATTGTCCCTTGCCAGATAGATACATATAACCTGGTGATGTTTACGCTGATAAAGAAATCAATCAATCAATCACTCCGTTCCTCTTGAATCACCCCAAATCGTTCTTCGGTAAAACTTTTCGGACTTGGGGACGTAAATCCAGCTGGTCCTCTAAGCAACACGGTTTCCTCCCTGTAAGTTAATGCAATTCTGCTTGCGTCCACCACTGCTAAGCTTTACAATACAGAGTTTTTTGCTGATTGAGCTGTGGACTGAAATCAATAATGCGTAGAGGGCAGGGTAGTATTTCACCTCAGTATCAGTTCTCCCCTGTTTCAATCATACCCCTCTCTCAGCATTGTTTTCCAAAGCCTCAGTGGCCTTCAGATTCCACCACCACCAAAACGTGGCATTTCAGCCATGGGCACCACCAGCTCATGACGATGCTTGTCCTCTACAGCGTTACTCAGAACAGGAGAACTCTTTGGGCTTGCTCTGTTTCAGTGAGGTTTAGGGTCTGGTTGCAACTGGACTTCTTTCTTTTTGTAAAACACAATGCTATGTTATTTTGCTAAACATGTAATCTGCTTAATTACAACTACTGTGACAAGCCCTGAATTCTAACAAGAAGAATTCCTACAGAACACCCCGCAGTGATAATGGGAAATATACTGCTATTAGTGACATATTTTTTCCTGCCAACTGCGTGCCAAATGAAGTTCTAAAATGGACCAAAAAAGTCTTGACAGTTACAAAAAGAAAAGGAAGAAATTGTTGTTCCTAGAAACTTAACAGTCCAGTACATTAGGGTTTTTAAGCAACGTTTAAGATACAGTTGAAATCAATAAAAAATACAATTGTTATACTCTGATTTCTCACCTGTACGCTGACCGTGGCAGTTAAGATGTGAGGCAGTATAATTACTGGTTTACTCACTGTTAAGTTTACTCACTGTTAATACTTACAGTATTACTCACTGTTTGTTTGTGTATAAAATGTTTCATCCTGGTTAAAAAAGAAAATCAATGATGTAATGTATTTCTATTTTAAATTCACTAATATATTTGGTTTCTCCTAATTTTGCTGTGTTCTAGCTGGGATCAAATTGCCTTACGTTACATTAATAAAAACAAAGAAAAAAAAAAGAAAAAAGACAGAAAGAAAAAGTCTTAACTGGTCCTCAGTTCCTGGCTGCCTGCCTGTGAAGGTGGTGTTTGTCAATACGCTTGCTTCAGTGTTGGTGTATCTGAACTGCTTCGTTTAGCACCCTGGGAGGACGGCAGCGATGCCTTCCAGGATGGCAGGCACTCTCGACCACAGCCCCTGGTGCAGACTTAGGTTGCTTGTCCCAGAATTGAATAACTCCAAGTAAAGTATAGAGTTTTCTGCAATGCCTGCCTAGGGCTGCTGAGCTGTATCAGCTTATGACAAGCTCTTAGGCCAAGAGGAACTTTACAAGATGACCCTGTTCAACAAATAGTATTGAGATGACAACTAATTTAAGTCTGTTTCTGGCATACAGATCCCCACAGGGCGTTCGCATATGCAATTTTGTGTCAGCTTTTCCCGTGGCACTTTCTGCAGGACATGTTTACATCCAGCTGCTACTAGGAACAAAGTTTCCACCTCTCTAGTGGCATCACTTGGCATTTTTGGATAAGGACAGCACTGGTGGTGTCACAAGTTCCTTGCTTTGTCGTTCTAGGTATGGTATCTTCTTCTGCTTACCCTCCACCCCTCACCTATGCCACCAAGAACAATGCATCAATGGGAGGGTGAGGTGTCTTCCAAGCCCAGAAGCTCCTTTACAAGTCTTTCACCAAACTGTGCGCGGCTATACCTTGTCACATGGTAGGCCTCTGACATTTTGTAGAGGATGTAGGCATTGTTTATAGCGATGCTGATGGCAAACCAGAATACTTGTTGCCAGGTCTTGTTTGGTTTGTGAGAAATGAAATACCTGAAAAGCCAAGAGAGAAGGGGAGGGAAAAGCACTGTTCAGTCAAACACTTGCAGCTGGGATGCAAGAAATAACCCCAAAGATTCTGCAGTCCCAAAGGGGAAGCAGGCCCAGGACTTAATACCTAATGCAAGTATCATCTCAAGAAAATTTCTACAATGCATTTGACAATCATTTACAACTAAGTTGCACAATTTTGGAAATTTCTAGCAGTGTCTAAAAGAACAGACTTCCTTGCTCTCAGAAGCAAAACCTCAGCAACACTCTCACCTCTGTACCACTCCCCGTAAGCAGAAGTACCAATACAGACTCCTTGAGCTTACCCATGACAAACATCCACATGATGGGAGCTGCAGGTCTGAGTCCCTTCAGTTTGTAACTAAAAAAAAAACACCTCAGGGACATTGTGTTACAGTTTAGGGAAGATTGCTGGTGCTTCTCCTCTCATTTATCTCTATTGCGAGCAAAGAATAATTTCTTGCTGCTGTCAACAGTAGGTGGGAGGATGAGGGGGTAGAGCCAGAGCATGCAGTGCGGGTACGTGGAGCACCTCTCCATAAGGCAGAACTAGGACCGACATCCTTATATTTAGGTTCTGACTAATCGTAGGACTGCCAGAATATTCACTCTCCGGCACTGTTTAACATCTTTGTTGGCAACACGGACAGTTGGCAAGTTTGCCAATGACACCAAGCTGTGTGGTGCGGCCGACATGCTGAGGGAAGGGATGCCATCCAGAGGGACCTTGACAGGCTTGAGAGGTGGGCCCGTGTGAACCTCATGAAGTTCGACAAGGCCAAGTGCAAGCTACTGTACATGGGTCCAAGCAATCCCAAGCACAAATACAGGCTGGGAGGAGAATGGATTGAGAGCAGCCCTGAGGAGAAGGACTTGGGGATGTTGGTTGAGAAGCTCAACATGAGCCGGCAATGTGCGCTTGTAGCCCAGAAAGCCAACCGTATCCTCTGCTGCATCAAAAGAAGCGTGGCCAGCAGGTCGAGGGAGGTGATTCTGCCCCTCTACTTCACTCTTGTGAGACCCCTGGCTCATCTTCCCAACACTTCTTAAAAGGCATTTACAAGATAGATACTAAGAACATAAGTCTCAATTTTTTCTCACTGGTGGATGGGTAGATAGAGCCAGAACAACACTAGCAATGCAGCTCTTGCCCTTGTGCAGAGCCAGCTTCTGATCTTTGACTGAAACAGGAGTTTTGTCATGAGACTAATCCTATGAAAGCAGGATTGGGCCATCAGCTGCAGCTCAACATGGAGAACTCAAACATTGCAGCAACAGAGAAGGAGTGAAAGAAATACACACACATGCACACACGCACACACATGCACATGTTCTTACTTACTTGCTGTATTTGTCATCATATTTGCAGATGTAGCTAAGGTGAGCAGCAAATGCTTCAACCGCCAATGGGCATGGAATTTCTCCGCTTTTTCTCTTAATTATAACTCCTGCATCAATTTGAAACATAGCAGTTTTAAATCTACATGGTAGGTCTGGCAATTAAAAGATACAGTTTCTATATACGGTTTATTATAAAATAAACTTTATTGACAGTTTCTGCCCTAAAACTGAGAAGTAGTTGGTAACAGAAATGCTGATTTGATTTTTTTTTTCATTGGTAGTACATTGAGTGAGTGGAAGGGGAAGAGGAGGGATCATTTTTCAGTTGGAAATGAAAAGGTGTTAGCCACAAACACTTCTACTGTATGTTCAGAAAAACCCTACACATCACCGTAGTCCCACAGTGGACCCTACAGACAGTGTATTAGTCTCTCTGCTGTTGGTTCACAATGAGTTGTGGTCACCTCTAGAGCTGTGACTTGATATTTTATGCTTTGAGTTCTGAAGGTCCCAAACGAGTCCTTTGAAATTAAATCCTTTGCAACAAGTCCTCTGCAGCTACCTCTAACCACTCTCTGCCTAGACAAAGATGTGGGCCTAGAGCAGGTTACTCCAAGAATGGGCACCATTCTGTCGCATGGTCCATCTTTGACCTGGTCTTCTCCAACACTACAGCAATATTTATGAGTCCAATGCTCTCCCAAGAAACTCCCCTAGCTCTTCTCTGATTTATTCCTCCTCTCCTCTGTGTTTTCCCCATCTGGGGGAAGCTGCTTGTAGAAGGCAAGGATAAATAAAACAAACTTGTAGTACTATTAAGGAATCTGTTCCCTAACTTTTAACTTTATGTCCCCACAGGGTTTGATGGCCAGCTCTCCAAGGTATGGACCATCTCTTGCTCCATGTCTACAGCACGCTGTTTAGTGAGGATTCCTGCTCTCCCCTGGGCACGATACTATTTTTCTCCAGGTCTAGAGAAGCAGAGGCTTGGTTTGCATCCTTTCTCAGCATTGTTTCAGTACAGGTACAACCCTGGGCTTTCTCATTTCTCAAGCCTTCAAACTCTCATTGCCTTCCTTCTGCCAACTGTTTAACAATCATCCCTAAAATGCTCCTCACGTTTTGATTACAGACTTCACCACTTCATTCCTTCAGCTGGAAGTCTCGTTCCATCCATTATCTCTGTCAAGCCCCCTGTGCTGTCCTAGCTGGCAGGCTCCATTTTCAAGCAAGACTTATGACACACACTAAATGTCATGTTACAGCTGAGCCATGCAGCGATATATCTGGGGCCTTTAAAGCCTGATTTTTCAAGAGTCCAAAATAATATCACCTCTAAATCATTCAAAATACACGCTCCTTTCACCTCTGCCTCCCCAAGCTGGGTGTAAATGTAGTCCAAGGGGAGGGGAAAACCCCCAGTCAAATAAATAAATAAATAAATCCTTCATTACCTTCACATACTTACTATAGTGCTTTTTTGATCCTTTTAATGAGTCCTACAAAAATCTGGCCAGCATGAGTTAGAAAAGGGCTGATATACCACCAGCCTGCTGCATGAGTGCTGCAAAATCACTTGCCATCCCACCTGGGCAGATCAGGAAAGAGTATGTTCCTGGTGCCAGCATTTTACAAGAAAATCCCCTTCTTTCTCCTCTTGGTCTCCTCTCTTCTCTTTCTTCCCCCTCCCCTCCTTTGCAGGATTTATGTTTCCTTTGCAATCTGCTTTGTATTCACAATACTTAAAAGAAATGCATAGCGGTGGCAGCTATGTGGGTACCATATACTCCCTCTCACTTTCTATTATACTCCACGTAACATTCCTCTGTTTTGAGAATATAAATAGCTTTATACACATGTTATTTTTATAGCCTTTCCTAGGCTTGTTTCGCAGCCATAGGCCTCATCTCTAGGGAAGACAACTGCCGGAGCGAGGTGGTTCCTAGCTGCAGGTCTCTGTGGCAAGTGGTCCCAAGCCAGCTGACTCACCAGCACATCCGATGAGCTATTTCCCGTCCTGGTCCTCCCCCAGCATCGCTGTGTTCCCATCCCTGGCAGCACTCCAGGGAACACACCGCCTGCGCTGCAGCCGCAGCCTGCCTTTGCCTGCATGCTGGAAGGGCTGCTGGCTACGACACTGCCACCACGGATGGGCATCAGCTTTTGTGGTTTTGGGTTTTTTTTATACTGTTTTTCTGAAGTTCTTAAGCTGTTTGCTCATCAAGCAAAGCTTTGGAAATACCACCCCAAATGAAACAAGCAGAAAGACAAAGGTGTCCATGTTTTTTTCCTCAAACACTTATTCTAAGCCTAAGGTGACCTTAGGAGCTAGAATCATGGTTTGTTTTTTTTTTTTAAATGATGTCTCAGTAATACTAGCACTTGCACCCACCTTGGCAAGCACTGAGATCTCATAACATAATATAACTGCACGTTCCAAGTGCTATATAGCTTTTTATCAAGACTCAGTTTTGTTACAGTTCTTTATCAGAATTGCAGTCAGCGTTCACAAGGTCTAATGTCCAAGGTCTTCCCACCAGAGGCCTCTGGGCCCGTCCCCACTCTCATCATACTTTGACACAACCCCCTGAAAGTAGTTTCACAAAGGACACATGGAAATTGAAAGTTAAAACCCTAAGCTTCCCTGTCCTGAAATGCATTTTTTAACATTATGCTTCTTTCCCCAGACTTTCCAGTTCTGGGCCAATCTCACAAGCTGATTTTTTAAGGAAACTAGATAGTCACCAGACACTCCTTGCTCCAGCTCCTCCTGGGCTAAGAACCACACAGGGACTTATACAACTGCTTCATACAATTGTGATGCCTCCCCAACATCTCCCATCATTTCAAAGGTCACTTGTGAGGTGCCAACACGCCATCTGCAGCTCTTTAGTCCTTGCCTATGTAGCCCAAGCTTTGTATTCAATCCTTAGCTATTGCCTGTTTAGCTTTTAAGTAGAGCTGGTTGGTGAAGAGAAGCTGTGAAAGCTCTTCTCAGAAAGTTACTTCTTAAAAAGATCTTGAGTTCAGTAAGTTTTTGCTAAAGATGCCATTACGGTCATCTTGCTGTGCAGCAAGTAAGGTTGCTACTTTCTCCACCCTGTTTCATGTGAAAAATAGAAAATGTTGTTCTTATTTCTACAACACAGTAATGGAGATGCTGGCGAAATGGGCACCAGATCTAGCATCAAAAAACAAAAATGCAGCCTTGTCCCACAGATGGGGAGGTTTGGGCCAGCCCATAATCACCTGCTTTAGAATAAGGGTCAATTTTTATTCTCTGGGGATTGCAATCTCTTTTGGCTTATCAGTTCTTCTGTAAAACAGGCACAAGTTAAAATTAAGCTCAAGTTAAAGCTGAAAGGAAATTAAAAACCCCACTGAATTTTGTTCTAGGCAGAAACTTCATACTTGACAGCAGAGTATGCAGGTCATTTTTGCAATACTAAAGGAATAAGACTCATCCTTTAGCATCTGAGATGATGTATTATGACACATTGGTTCAAAACATCTATAATAAATAACCTGCTGCATCTAAGAATAGTATTCATAGATCAGCTCTGACAAGTGTACTGCCCTCCTGGTGCCTCTGGCTTGGGTGGGATTTGCACTCTGAGTATAGGAAAGATTTACCTTCTCGACTTTCCGTTAAATTGCACTAAATAGCATCATTAGCTACAGCTCTTTTCTCATCCTAAGATTTGTTTTGACCATCTCTTGCCTTCTGTTTTTAAGGTTTTCTCTTCACAGCCTCCTTCATTCCCATCAACATCTACGCTCAACCAAGTGCAAACACATACCATGCATTGTCAGGTGATCCCACTGGTGCCAGTCTCCGTCCAACTACACTGTGTGGGTTTTATTCCCCTCTGTCTCAACCTCCTCTCCCGTCTAATGCATGTGCTCAGCAGGTTTGCACTACAGTTTTGCCTCAAGGAGCATAGATTCTGTCTCTTCCTCCTCTATATTTACATGCCTTAGAAGAGACTTTGGTGGTCCAGCTTCAAGTTGGTTTAAACTAGCATTGCTGCACTGACTTCAGGGATGCCAAATTGGAGGCAGGCAATCTGGTCTCCTGCCTTCCTACTGAGTCTCCATCTGTTCCCAGCTCTCCACTAGAGACTCTCTTCCCCCCAGCAGCACTCTTTAAAAAGCCAATCTCTGTTTTCTGCTCTGATTCACTGTGAACTATGTCAACTGTCCCAGCCAGCATTTGGTGAGCAATGTGCTGGGCAGGTCTTGCCCATCACACACACAGGTCCTAATCAGTGGACATTAAACTACCTCAGGTGCGCAACCTAGAATCCCATCTATGCCAAAACAGACCCAAGGTCAATCACAAGCACAACTGCTCACACCTCCGTTTGCTGCTTGTAAAGGATGCTGCCAGCACAGAGCCTGCTTTTGCCCCCTCTTTTAACGGGGCGGTTAACACTGATGTTTACAGAGTACTTTTCTAGTAGTATTTATGCATTATAACCGAAGGCTCTGCGCTAGCCTATAAAAACCAGGTGACATGTAGTCATAACTCTTGTCCAGCTGAATAACCTGAATCCAGCAAAATGCACAAGGGAAACAGCACAAATCCTGATGGTGAATGCCCCTCATGGGGAGAAACACTGCTCCAGGGACTGCCTTCAGCAGGGTCCCCAAAGTGTCATATTTCCTTCAAATACATATTTTTCAGCATTTGTGCTCAGACACCAGTCCATCTGAGTCACCAGGTCCTCACTCTGCTGTGGTGCCTGCCTGGCAGAATTACTTGGGATCAGCCATGCTTTGCCAAGGTAATGAGCCTTCTGGCAAGGCATGGAACAACACACTAAGCCAACTTCTCAGCTTACCATGCAGTAATTCAAGGCCTTAATGTTGCTTCTGTAGCCTGCATACATATGTGAGAGTCACTCGGGACTCAGAATGTTGAGTGTACAAGATGCCTTTGAATTGGTGGCTTTACATTTAAAGGTTTAAGTTATTCTTATTTGTCTCAGGCAGTTGTACATAAATCTGACTAATAAAAATGAAAAGAAACTGAAGCAACATTTTCACCGAAAGACCAATTTCAAAGAGTTAGCTAATCATATTGCATCTTATGTAAGTTTCCAAATGGTCTTAAAACGATCCATATACTTTCAAAAAGGAAAAGACTTCAGTATCAAGAAGCTCTTTGCGATTATTTGAACTATGCAAGTTATCTGTTTTGGTTTCTTTTCATCAATTGCTAAAATCAAATTAACATACATCAGGAAGCCTTAATCATATTTACTTCTGGCAAAAAGATGTTTGATTCTGACTAAGTTTTTACTGGATAAGATAAATTAATTGTAGGAACTGCTCAGATTTCTAAGTGCATCATGATGTTTATTAATTTTTCTGTAGCAGCAATCCTACAAGATGCTTTGCAATTATGGCTAGTATAGCGTTATGTGACAACCGTCTTCCCTTCTCTGACCATCAGTGAAGATACAATCTTTATACCTAAAAGGATACTGCCTCCATCAGCTCAGGCAATAAAAGGGAAAAAAAGAGTAGCTGTAGGAAGACAGAAAAGGGAAGTCATCACTACTGCTACTGTTTATCTGGGATATTATGATCAAGCTCTTTGTTCAGGCTTATTATCACACTCAGTGGCTCACTTTGCTTACCTTGTTGAACCGGTGAATACGCGTTGGTCAGAAAACGGAAGTGCCCTTTGTTGTACCAGCAGATCAAGGACATGTTTCCCTTCATTCTTATTCTGTACTGTCCTCTGGACTGGGGAGTTTCAGGGTTGTTCAGCATGGAGGGAGGTAGGCCTGTGCAGTCACTCTTCCTGGCGCTCAGCAACCCACAGCAGTAAATCTCTGCACGTAAACAAAAACATTCCCTATCAGCAAGCCATTGCATGGACCCAGAAAGCAAGGACAGTGAAGCAAGTCTGAATGACCTGATTAGGG